TACTTCAAGCTTTATTTTTTCCCAAGTATTTTTAATCCATCCATAACTTACTTGGGTTTTTTTGTTAATGCGAAGTTAATACTCCTATATTTCATGATGTGCTCCATTGAATGACTTGTTATATTGTGGAATAACTTCAAGCTTTATTTTTTCCCAAGTATTTTTAATCCATCCAAAACATACTTGGGTTTTTTGTTAATGAGAAGTTAATATTCCTATATTTCATGATGTGCTCCATTGAATGACTGGTTATCATATTGTTCCCACTGACCTAAGACAAAAATGCCAGCAACCATGTAACTTAACCATAAACCAAATTTATGAAATTTATATAATGCTTATCCATGCCTGTATATTTGGTGTGTCCTACACAAGTAAGAAAAAATGTGTATTTTATTAAAATATTATTATTAATTATGACTGCTAATCGTATATGTAATTTATCATATTGATGATGCCTGTAAACTGGCGTCTCTCATGTACAAAATGAGAATGTACTAATATTATTATAACATTCAATTATTGAGCCTAATGTATTCTTTGATAATACGAATTATAATATTGATTATACTCTTATCATATACAGTTCAATTTACTTTACGGCTCCGTGTAAGATTAACTACCATTCTTCAGTATACAAACACTGTAGTATTGTTAACCAAATGCCAAAATTTTGTTGGTTCTGTGTTAATATCTTTTTATAATATGTCTAGACACGTTACTTTGCAACGTTAGATGTTTACTATGTACAAGATTGTCATGATAATTTGGTACACTAAGTCCTGCCAACTGACCTTACCTTCAGTTTCTGCTACCTACATTGAGTCCTAACTATAGTGTTTTGTTGAATCCTGCTCCACTATTCACAAAACCTATTCTTTTTACTCTTTAAGTTTTTGACTTCTTATAAAGTAATCTGTTCATTAGGATGCATGCACACATATATAATATGTTCGTAAAGATGTACGTGGAGACCTATTGGAAGCACTCATTAAGAAAGCTAGGGAGATAGAATATGAGGTACGAACATGCCTGGTACCAAGCAATATATTTGCGGTAACCATAATAATCATAGTCTCAGAGCCTAACACCAAAAAAGGAGGGAGGGTGGCGTTAGCTGATCAGTAGATATGGTGGGGGTCACTAAGGTGAATTGCCCCATTCTGCAGGAACAGCAATATGCAATTTGACGGCTCGAGATTTTTCTGAGGGCTAAGATCTTTGTCTTGAAAAAGAGAATAATGAACGCCTTGACAGATCATGCTTCTACCTTTAAATATATACCATTCGCTCAGCCTATTGTTGAGATGCGACCATGTGGGATGTGCACAGATTTATGGGGCATCTTATAAAATAACTTGCTATCCATTGTCAGATCTTTAAATACTACTTCACAACGTCTTATCTCATTTATTTTCTAATAACGTCTTTACTTGATCCTCATTATATTCCATTAAACCTAACATTTTATAGCTCTTTATGAATTTGATTCAACTTATTCCATTCCTATTCTCTGGAGGGTACGGTTGTGCACCAAATAGACAAAAAAGCATGAAATAAAAACAACTGGCTTGAAAATAATTGTATTAAAGCCAAAAGTGGACATCATGATAGTACGAACTACATGGGTAGTATTATACATTGCAAACGAACGTCGTCGGCCTAAGGATTAATTACTTCCCCATTCTGTTTTCTATATAAATGTATTTATTAATGATATATTGCACTTACTTAATTTATTACACTTTAATGATTCACCTTAGCACTTTAACTTTTCTAAAACAGCTTCCAATCCCTTGTAAACGTTGTATTTACCTCAATATTGGTTGGTCATCGTATGCCTACAACGACGAGATGAAAACGAAACGAAGTCGATTTTCCCGCTCAACCTGGAGGACAACTGTACAATTCAATAACTATACGGCCTGGTTCAAACAATGAGTGTAATCATATATATCGAATATTTAACTGTTGAAACACTATTAGCTTGTAGACAATCTAAGATTTGAGATTATATCACTCTTGATCGTGCCTGTAAAAATGGTATGCATTTTCATGTAAATTTATGTTTATATGAAAATATAAATAATTATTATTATCCCTACTAAGCTTGCATCTGTATACGATGTTGCAAATGGCATCCAGTGCAGCATACCTGCTCCCGTCAGAAGATTTCTCGGCTTTAGACGATGATTCTATCAACAAATGTTCTTTCATCGATAGCAAAGATGTGCTGATGCAATTTACACAAATTTACACCCATTTTCATGAAAACTTATATGTTTATATGAAAATATACATTATTATTATCAACTGGAACGACAAATTCCAAAGACATACGCATGTTTGCTGAGTAATCTCTTGCGCTGTTTCTGTTTGATGGGAATCTGCAAGTGATTCTGAAAAATGAAGCTATAATCTTGCCCGCTAACAGATTTTTTCACTCCAGATTGTATTTCTTAAGGCGTCGATACAATGTCGTATTGTGTCCTCTCTGGTCACAGTCAACTTTCGTTGCATCACAAGAGATAATTTTTAAGTGAACTTACGTAGCCTCAAATTATTTGGCTGGTACGGTGCTACGTTAGGTGATGGTCATTTAATTCGTTTGGCCGCTTAGTCTGATTTGATGAAGGACCGTTAAAACTCATGTTAGCCTAAAACAAAAAGGGTCTGGTATCAGCAGATGGATTTATGGTGTCTATGCCACAATTAAGCGTGACGTAACCTTTGAAATGTACATTAATGTAATATTTTAAAGTATACACACCAAAGTAAACAAAAAGTAACTACGAAATATGGAAGAACAAGGAGATCTCACAGACACGCTGGCGACTCACGGCATTGGAAACAGAAACTTTGAATCCAACTACTTTTTCTCCGAAATGGATTCATATGCATTAAAAGGCTTCTTTTCCAAATGCTAAGTAAGACGTATGCGGTGAATCACAAGTACATTCATTTAAAAGTTCAATATAAGAACATATTATTAAGTTTTATGTACTAGTAGTGACTACTTCAGATTCTTAGTAATGCAGTTTTGCAAAATCGTCTCTCAGTGGTTAAAGACAAAAGGAATGGTTTACAATTAGTGGATGGTGGCTAGCAGTGGAATCCAGGATGCGCACTTCGTCCTATTTGGGACTCGTCAACTGGATGTACCTGCATTTCTCAGTGAGTGATGATGTTCCCACCGAGGCTCCAACCCAGTACCCATAGTTTCAAACGCCAGTCACCATCCACTTATTGTATACTAATTAAATGCCCAGACATCGTCGAAGCATCTGCACAAGAAGCCGACATGTCAACCTGAGACCGAGCACTTCAGTCCAATCAATAGACGGGAAAATCGAAAATTCAAAAGGAATGGTTATTCCCATCGGTTGATCTATGGACAATGAATGTAAACGTAAGTGCCCCAAAGTTTCTCCAGTGTGCCCGAAGTCAATGCTAGCTGGGTCCTTCTTGTATACATTTATTTTACTTATGTCCTTTCAATTAGGTGTTATCCATAATTGTATTTTATACCATTTAATAAATTCCCAGAACGTTCTCCTTTTCCCTAAATAGCTTTCAACCATGTTGGGGCATAGCAATTACCAAAATATACGCTGTTCACTGGTTGACGATAACTATCAGCATGAAATGTTAGGAAGTTTCTGTTGGCGCTCAACTGCAATGATGACTTTATTGAGGAGTTAACCATTTAACACTCGTACGAACCTGTTCTGATCGCTCGTACCGTTATCGGAGAATTTGAACTTTTGAAAAGTCCTGATTTGTGATATTTCACGATTGTAATTTATAACATATCTAATGGTGCCTGTAAGAATGGAATGCATTTCACGTATACCCACCAGTTTATAGGAAATATAAATTATCATTTTGTGGTGACCAATGGAAATCACATAATGAACGCTTTAGCCTACGTGTGTATTAAATTCTCTCTTTGTGTAAGTTCAACTGTGCAGAATTTTAGGAGAACAGAGAACTCTAACTGTGCACCAGCGAGGCAGCTACTACTGAGACATTATATACAGTGTGAAACGTTTGCTTGGGAGATTAATATGTGACATCGCATTTGAGATCCTTGAGTGGAATTCGAATGGGCGGAGTGAGAATACTAGAGTGACGTGGAGGAAATAGCATGAAGATGGGGTGAAAATGATGAGACAGAAGTGATTGCAATAAAGGTGTACCACATGAGCTGTATTGTCCAGCCGAAATGAAGAGAAGTATTAGTGGTAGTGTAACACTTTTACATTGCATCATGCACCATATAAATGAGATACCTCTTTTTCTAATTCATGTGTACACTGACTCACTAGTGAAGATAGTAAGCAATTCTTCAAAAGTAGTAAACTTCATCCTGGTTTTTGACCAAGTCAATGAAGATAAGGTACAGCAGCTAGTATAGTGCCATGATCTCGAACAAATAATCCGAATGGATAACTGTGAAAACCTCTCAGTTGACAAATCACGTATCTAAGTAGTTAGACTAAACTTTAAATCTATATCCAAAACCCAATTCATAACCGTTATACAACCCTCAAACGTAACTGTAAACTTTACATTATGCGTGAATCCAAATCTAATCTATTCGTTAAACCTAATCTTAGACATTAACAGCGAATAAATCAGATCAAGAGGAAGTTTTTTAAAGTAAACTTACTTTGTGTTCATGACTAGCTCTGTGACTGTTTGCTCAGGGTCTTATGGGAAGCCAGGTGAAAACTTTGAAAGAGGACCTGATGCAATGGAGGAGTGTGGCTGAAGCCTTATATTCCTCTAGGAACTAAAGGAAACAATAATAACAATAATCCAAGCCTTCCAAGACCTTGCAAATATACCATACTCTTCTTCGCATCATAAGTGATTTGTTCACTGGGCTGTACATACACATAACATAAGCGTACATGAAGGAATTAGAGTGTTCTTTCTGGAATCTAAAATCCTAATTAAAGTTTTTTATATAAAGTAACACATTATTTTGTTACCAACGCAAAAGTAAAAGGCGCCGGTTACAATCAATGGGCGATTGTGTTGGACTACGTACGTTCACTTATTTTCTGTTTTAGGACGAAGCAAAAGAATTTTTGACTGATTTTTAGTCAAATTGTGGTCTTAAAACGGACGAGTTAAGAGAATACGGAGAAGCATTTGAATGGTTTGTTAGGACCTGGGATGAAATTGTTAGTTCGCATTTGAATACTGATTCTGGACAGCGTAACAGCTAGAAATCAGAATAAACTTAGTGTTCGGTTAGGAGTAGGGTGATTACTGCAGGTTATATATTGGCATCATTTATACTGTCGACAATATGTTGCTTATATATATATATATGTTTGCCTTTTTGGTTCATGTTGTCATTACTCAGCTTTACCTTGACTGCTGTCCTTCAGGTGTGCGTTCCATTTGCCGGTATTTTGGTTTCCTATTTTTAAACGAAGTCTAGTTTAGATGGGTCGAGTTTTCCTGATAATTGTTGCTTTTGATCCTCATATGATGTGGATTGCACACTTCTTTTTATGATGACTAATCAGATGCGACTTCCAAAAGAAGTCTGCACTCTAAAGTAGTATCTGTGGTATTTGATCTCTTGTTAATTTTGTCTCATGTCGTCTCCACGAGGTAGTTTAATGCAAAATGTTTGAGAATAAGCAGAAGTACACCTAAATGCTATTCACCAGGTAGATAATATAAGGTACATAATTGACTACTTCAAGGTTTAGCTTATTTGAGTGACTCTGGTTGCTTTTATTATTGTCCAGTGATTGGACCTCCACTAGTCAGTATTGGTTAAAATAATCACTCTACGTTTTAGTCTAAACGTTCCCAATAGTTTTACACTTCTAAAGATTGGTGGGATAGCATTGTTAGGGGCCTTGGAAAAATTCGTGACTTTTTGTATCCTTATTAGAAGTTCTTGTGACAGTGGATCCATCCGTCGATGGATGAGGGGAAGTCATCTCAGAAGATATGGTAGATCAAGCCTAAATTTTTTATGCTATATTATTCTTTGGATTTAAAGTGCTTAAAGTGTGATAAGTATCAGAGGCAACGCATTTGGGATGTTTAATAGTTGGCAAAGTTGTCTTTGTATAGGATCAAGCCCAAGAATATCCTCCCATACATCTGATATAAATACACGAATGTACAGCCTAGATGATGACTTCGTCAAAAAGAAAATTTTCTTCGCTGCAATTGTCTTCTTAATAACTCTTCACATTTCTTGGTATCATTTTATCATATCTAGTGACTTCCTTTATTTAGCGCTTGTCGGGGGGTGAATAGATTATCGGATCCCATAGTCTGCAAATTTCAATTATGGTAGCACGACAGCATATTCGAGATTTGAACATGCAACATAAGCTGCCTGAATAGTCATTCAGATACTGAAAATCGATCAAATAGCTGAAAGTATATCGCAGTGGTGCAAATGTATTTACTCTCTAACATTATCTCGACCATGAAAACTTTCACTAATGTGTATACAATTATCGCCTTACTCGTCCATCTCCATCCATTGTTTTCATTACTTATCTTTCCCTCGCAGTTGAACTGATGCATTTTGCGCACAGTGAATAAAGATAGAGTATATTTTTGTGTTGGATTATTAAGCGACCACTTCCGTGAGCTAGTCTAGTTCTTCTTTGTCCTCCAAGTGCACAATGTGATGGCTAACTTCAAATAACAGGATTTTTTGTGTTGGACGTATTACTATACGTATTTCCCATATTTAACGATTAGAAACGTCTTGAGGGTGACTTTGAACTATAGAAGCCCAAAACAAAACTACCCAATGGACGGATTGACGACCCTGACGAGTTTATTTAAAGAAACTGATTTAACCTGACTCTAAGGACTCCCGTGAGAAATTGGGAGGTTTTTCGTAACATATACAAGAATATTATCCTATGTAGCCATTTTTCTAATGTCTTCTAATTATTAAGACTCAAGCACCTTCAGCGATGATATATTTACAACCTACAAACTATTTGGCGCTTTGTTTCTTGGTACCATCTAAGAAACAATTAGCGTAATCATAGATATTTCTTCTTCTGATTTGAGTCTATTTAAGCTGTTAGTTAGTAAGGCTCATTACACCTCAAAGTAACCCATGCAACAGCTCAACTGAAAACTTCCTAGGTTAATGTTTTGGTCAGTCTTGCATTTCGAGTGAATACCCATCAGTCATTAACGTAAGTAATGGTTTGTTTGCAGCAGATTTGATGTAATCTTGGTCATCCTGTACTTGATGTTTATTGAAAGGATCACCCGAAATCAGAAAGCCGTGGATAGCAGTAAATTTTCCTCAAAAAACTCTTCGAAATTAGCTTCTAGCCTTGATATTTACATCAAACAACGATAATGTACTTAATTGTAATAAATATTAGGAATCTTAATTGTAAAATCCACTAATTCGATGTTATTTGAGTGATATGATAACCAGTAATACATTTTTAAGGACAAACCATGCAGTTTTAGCCTTTTCAAGGTTTTCCAAGCTACATCATAAACCTTTTTCATTAGAGAAAAGTTCTGTCCTGTTTCATTTGTAGGGGACTTTATAGCGAGCTCGATAACAGAACCAATTTTAGAATAAAATTCCAACTTAATGAAATGATAGTGTAACAGTTAATGATTTGTGTAAATTAACGGTTACTTGGTTATACAGTTAAAGTCCGTCACTTCAAATTATTAATATAATCCACCGGAGTGGTCACTGCTGGACTCGTGTCTAGTAGTGGAAGTGTAGAACAGTCTTCGAATGAGGGCGAGATGTTTCTGTAAAGTCAGAAGTATACAACATAGCTAGTAATAAACCAAATAGGTAGTATGGACGAGCAGCAGACTGTATTTTAGACTGTACTCCGAAGTTATCTATATTTTGCAGTGAATCGTTTTAAACAAAAGTTGCGTACAATGTGTTTCCATTTTTAACATCTAACAAAAAACTATGCAATCAGATTGTTCCAGACTCTACACATTTCTCTATGATATTCATTAGACTACACTGTTACTACTTTTCAAGCAATGATGATAGTGATTTCAAGATAAATTGCATTACAAATTCAGCCACTGTTGGGGCTAACCAACGTTGTCATTCGATATATTCAGCTGTTTTATCCAAGGATAAGATACACCGAACTTTTGTACATGAGTCTCCTCAAAAAATTGTTTAATTCTTAACAAAATGAAATAGGTTAGTAATCGTGTATACACCTTAATATCAAGCAAGGTTTAGTCATTATTGTTAGCAATGAGACTGGCTGGCCTTATGTATTCCCATCATCATTCATCATAGATGTACTAATGGACTTAGCCCTAACTCACTTCAGCGGCTCAGGGATTGATTTGCTACCAGGGAATAATCTCGTTAACTTAGAATATGCAGACGATATAGTCCTAGGCGAGGACGCTGAAGAAATGCAGAGTCTTCTGAACACCTTAAGCTATAATCTACGAATGTTTCGCATGCGATTCGCTCCCGCCAAATGCAAGATGATGTTACAGGACTGGACTACACTGACTCCTAGATTAGAATTAGGGAGTGAAGTGGTAGAGCACTTTTACCGCTTCACTTACTTGGGAAGTACCATCAGCCCCAACGGGTTGACCTCTAACGAAATCTCAGCACGGATACAGAGAGCTAGTTTCACATATATGAACAAGGCATTAAGAAGACAAATTTCGTGAGATGATATCATTTCGTAGTTTCTTTACAACCGCTTTACAACTAACATGGTTAACAATGATAAAATAAAGTTCATGAAAATTACTCAGTTAAATAATAACAAAAGTACATACTAATGACCAATCATATTTAGATAGGTCATGTAGTCCAGGGTAGGCGAAGATTGAAGTCTATTGATTTTTGTACACACAGTTTAGGCTGTATGTGATTAATCCAAAGTGCTTCCATCACCTTCAATAATCTTGAATTAGAGTTATGTGAAATAATTGTGAAACAGTCATTAATATTTATTTTGTGACCAGACATTAATAAGTGTTTTGCAATGGATGATGCTGGATTTCTATTAAGATTAATCGCGTTGGGATTTTCGATATGATTTAATAGCCATTTTCAAACATGTTCTTTTCGACGACGTTGGAACATTCTGTTAGTTCTACCTATGTAGGTGTCACCGCAGCTGCAGGTGAACTTGTAGATACGGCTTGAAGTAGAGTCCACAGAATTTCGCCCTTTAATGTCTGGTCACAAAATAAATATTAATGACTGTTTCACAATTATTTCACATAACTCTAATTCAAGATTATTGAAGGTGATGGAAGCACTTTGGATTAATCACATACAGCCTAAACTGTGTGTACAAAAATCAATAGACTTCAATCTTCGCCTACCCTGGACCACATGACCTATCTAAATATGATTGGTCATTAGTATGTACTTTTGTTATTATTTAACTGAGTAATTTTCATGAACTTTATTTTATCATTGTTAACCATGTTAGTTGTAAAGCGGTTGTAAAGAAACTACGAAATGATATCATCTCACGAAATTTGTCTTCTTAATGCCTTGTTCAAATTTATCGAAGGGACTAATTGTTTTAAGTTTCACATATACCAGTTTACGCCGTCTCTGGCTTAGTAGATGTGATATCCGCCTGGCTATCGACCAAAGGGCGGGTGTACTGCTAAGCACTACGTTCCGTCCTCCTTTATGTCTATTGGTGAGACCTGGTCATTGAGAGTGGAAGACATGAAAAGATTAGCTGTCTTTGACCATAGGTGCCTGCGTTCTATTTCCCGTGTGAGGTAGTTAAATAAGGTGAGCAATACTGAGGTTAGGCGTCGAGTGCTAGATAAGCAGGGGGGGAAATCAATCGACGAGGCTATGAAGTTACATCGACTGAGATGGTTAGGACATGTGTTACGTATAACTAGTCATCACCTCCTCGACAACGGGAATTGTTAGCTGACATAGGATGCATCAGGCTGGAAAAGAGCTAGCTAGTGGTGGTCAAACCAAAACATGGCTTCATCAGTCAATGAAATCCACAACAGTTATTGTAAGCCAGGTAGTCACGTAGGAGGGTGTAGACTTCCTGACTGGCTGGTTGGGGTCCTCGGGACGGTAAAAACCAATGAAGGCTGGAAAAATTGGTGATATGGCTCAAAATCGTTCTCAATAGCTGGCGCAGATGCATCCACTGCTTGTGACATGATTTTCAATGAAACTATATTCCCTTTGTCTCACACGTCAACTTAGTGTCTCTATTATGCATTTCTTCTACTTTTTTCTGTTGCATTGTGTGCTGCATGGAGTGTGGCGAGTTGAACTGGCGCACAGCGGTGCAAAGTTCTCTGTCAAAAACATACAGACAGACAGATATTTCCATATAGTTTCCTTCACTGTTTATAGGCATCGAATTGATAGTTTGGCTAGGTGTTTCAACCAATTCTCGTGGCTTAATAAACTGATAGATGGAATTGCACTTTTTGTTAATACTTTGTACTTCAACAATAACAAAACTATGTTACTCCCAACTGCTATTCTTTCACAAAGAAATCTGTAAAGCTATATAGGATAACAAAGCTATAGTTTGTAGATGTATAACATCTATGGGCATAATATTATCTAATGCGCTTGTATTTATGACTTGCATTTAGTCTCCCTATGCATTTAATAAGCTCTCTTAGTAAGGATGTTTGCTCTAATAATCCTTTCCTTTTGTAAATTTTGTCGCTCTACATTCCATAAAGAAGCGTTACGATTGATTCAAATTGATTATACCAACGGATACGACGACCGTATCGATCAGCTAAAGGTTAGCTGTCAAAATATAGTATTTATTATCACAGACAATAAGGGTGACACTAACCTTATTTCCAAAGAATTTGGAAGTGTTAAACAGTAACTGATTAAAAGTACTCCATGTACAAGTATTTAAAACAGTCCAACATCGTAAAATACGCTCATTTTGTTTTTTACTTTCAGATCAAAGCTCCAGAACTGTTAGTCATTCACTTAGTCTTTGAACTGTAGATCTTCAGAGAATAGATGGACAGTATTTTCTTGAAAATCATTCACTTGTTGTATATTGTTCATATAGTATCAGGATATAATCCTGTTGGTGAAAAGCTTGATGCCCTGTTAATATCTACAGAAAAAGTGATTTCCTATTATGAACAACACAATGAAGAGTTCAATTTTGATGGAATATTCGGTTTAATTCCATTGAAAGGTAAGACAGACAGCTTACCTACCATAAAACCTTCAGGTGCACTTAGAAGCATTGTTTATAATTTTTTAAACAATTATGATGGAGAAAAGCCGTCCACCTGGATAGATTTAGGTCAAAAATTTCATACACAACTTCAAACAGTTGATAAAATAATTACAAAAAGCATAATTTTTCTCAACGATACAAAAGATCCGTATTTTATTGAAATGGGCAAACTTTTATCATTGGATTGGATATTTCCCAATGAAAATATCTTGTATCAATCAAACTTAGTGATTTCAAGCAAAATTAATACACAAAAATCAAAGCATATTACAAGTGATAATTGTATCAGCCAATTGCTGAAATCAAGAAGTCCAGGCAGTATAAATTGTTTTCTTCCGATGGATTGTGTCACCAAGCTGTTGAATTTTAAATCTCATGGATACGAATTAGCTCATCAAATTCTGTACATACTGATTACATTTCAAGTAATTTAATTATGCATATATGATTTAATCAACAGGTTAATTGTACTGATTCTTTAGCCAATATGTTATCTGCTCTTTCGATTAATTTTGAAGAGTTAAAAAACCAGCTGTGTTTAGTCTTGTATCAAGATCTTGTGAATTCATTCTCTTATGTGAGAACAAAACCTTCCTACAAGGATATATTACTTGAACAAAGTAAGTTTTATGCAGGCTTTAATAGAGTTCAGTTTATTTCAATTTACTAATAAAATCGACTAACCAGTTAGAGAATATATAATAATTTTACTTACAGACTCATTGATAGAACTTGATAGGGTATTTAAAGTAGAGTTGATAATAATAGTTATCACGATGTGTATATTCCCTGATTCATGATCGGTCGTAATATTATTATTATTATTTCCTTTGATTCCTAGAGGAACATAGGGCTTCAGCCGCGCGTTTCCATTGCGTTCGGTTCTCTGCTAGAGTTTTCATCTAGCTCCAAGTCTGCCCACATGCTCTCATTTCCTCTTCTCATGACCCCCTCCAAGTCACCCCACCATTGCACTGACGACCAACTCGCCGCTTCCTTTTCGGGTTCCACTCGAGCAATGGCTTGTCTAGTGATGTCACTTGAGGGTTTGTTTCTTCAGAGTATGGCCAATCCATCTCCATTTCTTCTCGCCTATTTGTTGCACTGTACTGTTGTACTGTAATTAAATTTGTTGATATGTCATATTTCACATTGCACAACACCACGATTTTTTTTTTTAGCTTATTAACGCCAGGCGAATTCATTTACCATCCAAGTTCATGGTTGCCTAATTTTTAGATTAACTCTTAAGTCACACAAGTGTGGCTCCATTAATATCATTTTTTCTTTACCATATTTTATGTGTAGGCCATTAAATATTTAGCAAGTTTTTATCGCATAAAAACGATGACTTTCAACACACAGGTAATGCATTCATATACATTTATGTACATAACCTGTTAACTATCATTTGACAGTAATAATTTACACCAGTTTGTTGTGGATAATCAGGTTACAAAAGAGAAAAGTGGTTCATTATGACTTATTTCTAATTGATTTTTTTTTCATAAGTGTACAGGCTGTTCGTAGTGTTCATTTGAATTTGAAATGTAATGTAATAAAATACATCAGTTATTTTAAACAAAGTATTTAAATAAAGAGTTAAAAGATTAATGTAATAGGCGTACAAGTGATTAAAGCAGTATGTCATTAATGACTGTTTTGATGTGAAGATGATAGAAAACAATGATCAAAGAAAGGCATCAGTTAGATCAGTGGAGATTCTCTTTTTCCGGTGACTGAGACTCATCCACTACCTACTCCTTTTTAATATCTCAATGTATAGTTTATAAATAACTGTGAAAACTCAATAAAATAGCTTGAAGTTTATCACATTTCTTTTACTACTTTTATAATTTAACAGTATGAAATATAACCTACTTGTTTCAACTGAAATGTCTAACATTTTACGTATTTATACTGATGTACATTGTATGGGGGAATTCATTTCATCAGCTGACATCAGTTAGACAACCACTGGAATACCTGGGAGTACTGGACAATCAGCTGTCTCTTTCTAGTTTGGGACACTTCAGCAGAACTCACCCACCAGGACTCGAGCCCCAGGGCCTTCTGGTTACAAGGCGAGCTCGTAGACCATTATTAGGCCACTGGGGCCCAATCCAATGGCGCCAGTCCATGAATTCTAGCTTCGGCCAGTGGTTCTCTAACTGATGTCAGTTCATGATGAAATCCCCCATCTAATCAAACACAATCCCTACAAAACCAATACTTGATATACATTGTGTTATAGCGTTATTGTGGCTTAGAAACATTTACCTCTGGCTTATCATGTACACAGATCTAGATGGCTGAATATCAATATTTGTATTATATACTCTTTGTAGTTTATGCTGCTAAATGTCAACACTGAACCCTTTTCGTGCTTGACTGTTTCCTTGGATTAAGTAGTTTCTGTAATTTCCTTCTTATCATTATAGACACTATTTTCCCATTCCTTTTGCATTCTGAGTAAAACATTAAGCTTCAGTAGGGTTGGTGCTATTTTTTACGAAATAGAGTTTGCTAGCCTCATACCCAATGTTTCCTTTTCTCTGCGTTTACTGCCAGTTAGTAAATTAGACGAGGTGTAGACGTGCATTGTCAGTGAATCGAACCCAACCCAGGTGCACTTGACTGGCAAGCATTCTACCATTGAAACACCGATATATAGAAACTATTGTGTTTGTCAAACTTATAGTGTATGCATAAATACTAAATACTTTTTTGTAGGGAAAATCAGTAAATACAAACATAAGATATATCTTATGGACTGATTAAAAGCAGCTTAAAACCGGTAAACTTCAGTAGTTTAACTTTGGTTGATAGTGTTTAGCTGTAGAACCAAAGTCGCACCTACTTCCTAAGTCAGTCATGATATATTCATTGATACTCAAACCTAAAATCATTTGTTTCAAGTGCTAAAACGCTGTCCACTATGCTACAAATACTACCTCTTAAACAATGGGTTCATTTATTATTTGGGAAGTACCATCAGCCAACGTCAACAGGTTGATCTCTGACTAAACCTCAGCACGGATACAGAGGGCTAGTTTCGCATATGCCAGTTTACGCCGTCTCTGGCTTAGTAGATGTGATATCCACCTGGCTATCGACCAAAGAGCGGGTGTACTGCTCAGCACTACGTTCCGTCCTCCTTTATGGCTATTGGTGCAACCTGGCCATTGAGAGTGGAAGACATGAAAAGACTAGCTGTCTTTGACCATAGGTGCCTGCGTTCTATTTCCCGTGTGAGGTAGTTAAATAAGGTGAGCAATACTGAGGTTAGGCCTCGGTCGAGTGCTAGATAAGCAGGGAAGAGGAAATCAATCGACGAGGCTGTAAAATTACATCGACTGAGATGGTTAGGACATGTGTTACGTATAACTAGTCATCACCTTCCTCGACAACGGGAAATGTTTGCTGACATAGGATGCATCAGGCTGGAAAAGAGCTAGCTTGTGGTGGTCAAACCAAAACATGGCTTCATCAGTCAATGAAATCCACAACAGTTAGTGTAAGCCAGGTAGTCACGTAGGAGGTGTAGACTTCCTGACTGGCTGGTTGGGGTCCTCGGGACGGTAAAAACCAATGAAGGCTGGAAAAATTGGTGATATGGCTCAAAATCGTTCTCAATAGCTGGCGTAGATGCATCCACTCCTTGTGACATGATTTCCAATGAACCTACATTGTTCTTCGTTATTACTATTCCTTTGTCTCTCACTCCTCTGTTTACTGTGTCTGTTATGCATTTCTTCTTCTTTCTTCTCTTGCTTTGTGTGCGAGTTGAACTGGCGCATACCGGTGCAAATTTCTATGTCGAAACAGATAGACAGACAGACAGACAAAGCTTTGCTTAACAATAATAATAGGTTTTTCCTGAACAATGTTTATATAATGTACAGAATTTTCAGCGGAGTTTATTACATGATATTTTCTCTTCGTCGTCCTGGATCTTTAAATAAAAGACTAATTGACAGTAGATGGTGTGACACAATACTATCTGACCGGATGCGCAAACCAATCCACTATTATCCTATCTTTTCTTTATCTCCTTCGAGATGTACACAATATTTTGTTAACTGCCAATTGTAAAAAGTGTTTAGGAGTCCATTTTGTGATCCAAGAGCAGCACTCAGAAATGATCATTCATGTACTTGGATAAGCTGCCATCCATCGAGGATAATGCCCTTATTCTCATGTACAATAGAAACGTGTGAATTAGCAGGTTGTAAATCTTTTTTAAATACTCTCTAGAGTAAACAACCCTATTAGAGGTCATATTTTATTAGATTTAAACAAATTGAATAAGAAAAACTATATACAATGTACTGATGAAGGTTTTTAGTAGCCCAAGTTTTTAAGCAGTGTATCTACAACAATGTACAGGTTAATAGAAATTTATCATCCACTCGTACTTATTAAAATTTCTATTAATTATTACCATTAAAGTAGTTGATGTGACTCTGAATATCTTTAATATTGATTTCAGTTTTTGTCTGTGGCAGTCTTGGTTATGGAAGATTTATTCAGCTATCTGTACTCAATGAGATTTTGTCATGGCAGCAACCATCTGGATGTTTTATTGCTTCAAAGTATAACTCCGACGACAATACAGTGAAGAATACTAATAATATTATCTTTCCTATGCGCCAACCTCTTGCTGAACGTAAACATAAAGGTATACATATATTTCATTACTGTATTTTGCATTTTTCATATTTCGTAATACAAATGTGATTCAATTTACGTTGTGATGTTTAGTAGACTTTGGTATTATGTCTGTAAAAGTGTACTAACACATACGCCTTTCTGTCTGTTTTCGACATAGAACTTTGCACTGATGTGCACCAGTTCAAGTCTCCATACTCCCTCCTTGTAGCACACAAAGCAAGAGAAGAAAGTAGAAGAAATGCATAACAGACACAGTAAACAGACGTGTGAGACAAAGGAATAGTAATAACGAAGAACAATATAGTTTCATTGGAATGGATCTGCGCCAGCCAGCTATTGAGAACGATTTTGAGCCATATCACCAATTTTTCCAGCCTTCATTGGTTTTTACCGTCCCGAGGACCCCAACCAGCCAGTCAGGAAGTCTACACCTTCCTACGTGACTACCTGGCTTACACTAACTGTTGTGGATTTCATTGACTGATGAAGTCATGTTTTGGTTTGACCACCACAAGCTAGCTCTTCTCCAGCCTGATGCATCCTATGTCAGCAAACATTTCCCGTTGTCGAGGAAGGTGATGACTAGTTATACGTAACACATGTCCTAACCATCTCAGTCGATGTAATTTTACAGCCTCGTCGATTGATTTCCCCTCCTACCTTCATAGCACTTGACGCCTAACCTCAATATTGCTGACTTTAACCTGGTGAACAGCTGATAAGCCATATCTTCAATTTACAAACACCGAACAGCCATCATGTGATTAGGTTAATTCATTCTAGTTACCAGTCATTAGTGCTTGAAGTGTGAATGACTGACGACTGCCTAAGCCAATAAACTCCAAATTTAAAAACAATTACTCATTAGTAGTTTGAACTGTTTCCTTTTCTCCGTAGTTGTGTTCTCTTTATATGCAGTATGTACTGTATTTTATTCCATATTTCCTAGATGGTTGCCTATCGCATATGACTTCTGTGGCTACAGCTGTACTAAGCTTGTATTTGAGAGAATTTTTTATTCCTAAATACACGCTGTCTGCAGATGGATATTTAATGGATTTATATGCTGTTACACAGAAAGTTCTCTGGACAAAAACATTTGAGTAAGTAAACGGATCTGCCTTTTACTTTCCTTTTCTTAACTGTACAAAAATAAGGCATCTTCTACTCTAATGTTCAGTAAATAAGTGTGAAAATCAAGCCAAATTTATATGTTGTGTATCATATCATTTACTGGACGTATGCATTTCTAAATATTATAACTTTTTATTTCTCTTTCAATATTTACTTATTTATTTAAACGCATAAAAACTTGGTACAATATGGCACCAAGAAGGATGCGCCACACAATAATAATAAAACAACATAGATCAAAAGAAAAAAAGAAAGAAGAGAAAAAATATATATATATATAAGTGGAAAACGGATAAAGAACTTCATCTGGAAGGAAAACAGTCATGCTTAACAAGTTCAAACAGTATTCGCTAACTATCATCGCGAAGGGAAGAAAGAAGGAAATTGCAACACGTGTAATAGTACGCAATAAGTTTCATTGATTGTTTGTTGCTTCATTCAGTTCATTGTGTGAGGGCTGAGATACTGCCCGGGCTCCTAGACCGAAGCAGGTGGTTTTATTAAGGGACCACCTCCCGAGCCTTTGACTTGGAGTCTAATCCGCAAGACAGCGGAGCAGCGTCGGGAGCTGCATTCCCATGGTTGCTGGTGACCCATATGGGTTGATACGCGATTTGATCCGATTGGATACTGGAGCCCATGTACCCCATGGTAACTGCTTTTAGTTTAACCGCTATCCAATAACCTTCGTGACATGGTAGGACCTGCAGGGACAGAGTCCCAGTCAGTTTAGCATGTTGGATCATTACGGTATTCAAGCCCGACCACCACGACAAGGTAGCAGTTATCGGCCGCGTCTTGCAATACTTCATAAAAATTTCACATAAAAGTTTACAAATTCACACTCTATGCCTGTGATTATGTAAGTATCATGGTGGCAATTTCTGTAAAAGTCGTAAACACTAGGAAAAACAACACTACTGTTGTTGTTAGCGGTAGCCCACAAGTACACAAGCAGAAAAAAACATCTTTCTAATGCTCATCGATTCTCAATGATTCTTTAACTTAATAATAATAATAATTTTGCTTTATTCCTAAAACAGTACTAATGATACAGTAAGGAATTTCCAGCGTTTAGTACAATATTGCATCTAATTGCCTCAAAATGACAAAAAAAAATAAACATTACATAATAATAATATTAACAAAACGTTGTTATAGCAGCTATATAGCAAATTACATTATGCGATAAGGAGAAAAATATGCACAAAGTATAAAATTGTAGTGATGATAGTAATTACAACTGGAAAAAAATCGCTAAGTTGTAATTAAACGATAGAAAGGGTGACAGCATAAAATTTACAGAAAGATGAAAGAGTCGATTCACTTTGCTAATTACATAGTAACTTATATGTTTCACGTCTAACAGTGTCTTCCTCACATAAAATACGGGCTAAATAGAGTATTGTAGAATTTTTGTACTTAGTGATTCGAGCATCTAACTTTTTATATTGACTTCTCGTCCTACTCGATGAGATGTAAGGGGATAGTTGTGAATAAAAGGGGTGCAGGGGGTCTGACAGTACGGTCTTTGCCCATTTTGTACAGGAATTTATGTGTCTCTTGACTATAATATTGGCGAGCTCACGCAGTGGCATACCACAAACCCTACTCACAGCATTTAATACCCTTCGTAATATGATATAGTCTTTTTTGAGAAACCCAGGAAAGAGTAATGGAGAGCAATAGAGTACAATAGGTAAAATACAGGAGTTTACAAACTGCAGAAGTAAAGGTTGGTTGATACCTGATTGTCTTAACTTTTTAATGTAGAAGGAAAGACGAAACATTTTCTTAGAGATCGATAAGATGTGGGATGATCATGAAAGGTCAGAGGAAAGAACTAGTCCGAGGTATTTAATGCTTAACTTGGTTTCAATTTCAGTGCCATCTATGCTACAGGCATCATGGGAACTAAGTAGTTCATGTATGTCACGTCGATGTTTGAAAGTAAAGTTAACTTCCTGACATTTGAAAGGATTTAACATAAGACCATTTGACTTAGACTACTTGCTGATGTTCAACAGAAAGCTATTAAGTCTGGAGCAGTCAGACTGGGAAGTGATAGGCAGTGATACAGTCAGATCATCTGCATATTTGACAAAGTTATTTTTTGTACAGAAATACATATTATAGATCAATCAAACTCCTTGCAAAACTCAAGAGTATAAATTTCAATCTCCAACTCAATAATGACTACTAGATAGGATGTTCTAAAGTTCTGATGAGAAGTTGTAATCTGTGCAATCTAACATATCAGAATAATAGTGGATGCTTATCCACATTATTGGTTGGCAGCATTGCTGTATCGTGAATTAACACAAGTTAAAATTCATGGGTCACTACTAAATTGTGGTCCATTGGATGAATGGTTAACGGGCTGGCCGTGTAAGCTGAGATAGATTTTTGAAAAAAATCCCTGGTGGGGTCTCTATAACTGGAGCAAAACAGCTGCCCAGTACTTCTTAGTTTTAAATAATTCTGTAACTGATGTCAAATCCGTGATGAAATTGACGCTAGAAAACATTCAGACTGGAATAGGATGACCAGCAAAATAGAGGTAGAGTGCGTAAAACTGGATCTTAGAAAAAGTGGATAAACATAGTGAATACATAGTGTTCAACAGTCGATCAGTGATAAAGTGATTACATCATTCCCGTAAAAGATGAATACCATTCAAAAGAGGTTGGGTACAATGAAGGTGTAGAAAAGGAAAAATAATTAAACAGATATCATGGATAGAGTTGGAGTAATGAGACTTTTTATCTGGCACTGACTGGCTATCATATTTATGACGACGGACAGAACTCAAAAAGATATAGCATTGGATAGCTGTTTCGTCCTACTTTGGGATTCTTTTAGCACTATAGATGCATGATCCCACCAAAAGTTCTTATTCTTACTTCATCCAACTTTATGAACAAAAGAGTTACACTTTCAACACCTTTGCTTGATAAAGTTTTATTCATATTTGATTTAGCGATCGATAATTGGATTCATTGAAGAACTGAATAAAGACACGATTTAAATTCAGTTGAACCTTCTCAGTTATAACTATAAATAAAATGCTAATAAGGGTATTAGTAATCCTTTCTCAATATGTCAGTGTGTTTAGTTCAAGTCTCATGTCATAAAGCCAAAAGACAGCGGAACAACGATAACTTCGTATTCCATGAGTCGTTTTGTTGTGAATAAAAGCAGTTGAAGAATCCTACTGCCTTTAAGACTGTGGTGAGAGCTGGCTGCTAGCCCAATTGGTAGACAGTAATTTACGTCAATGTTTATGTCCCTAATATTGATCATGTGAAAACAAGAACAAAGACTCACTCAATAATCAATCACAGCAGACTTTGCGTGGGCAGATACAGTTAACATATAGATGATCTGACATTCAAGAAACAGTCACAAAGAGATGCAAGGTTAACTTTCTGTGAGAAACAACCAATCAGAAGACTGTGCTTTTCTGCTAACAATAATCTATAATAATGTACATGAAAATACACAAATACGTGTTGATTTGCTGAATAAACGATCCGTTGCCTGGCCCTTGTCTTCTGTTGTTACAGTACTACTCTAAATAGTGTTCCTTCTTGACGATATCTACTTTAAATTATATCAATGGTCTCTTAACTTCAATATTTAAATATTCTTCATCTAAAATCATATAGGTATGTAGCTCATGTGGATGACTTTGAATTAGTTGTGCTCTCAGAGTTGGGTGATTTAATTGCCTAGCTACCATTATCCTTCTAGACATCTTGAGCTCAACCCTCATTATGCAGAGAAATTATTTGAATTCTCCATCAATATAATATAATTTTATCTCCTAGCTACCTTTGTTTTGATCGGTTGTTAATTTGCATCACTGTTGGTGGTTTATTAATCGACATGGAATTCGACTTCTTTATTACTTGATAAATAACATAACACAACAATTCCGCTTTATTCCAGAAACAGTACTTGTGGTACAGTGTGGAATTTTCAGCACATATCTACAATATTGCATCTAATTTCATCGTACATTTAAAAGGAGTATTACAGAAAAATAAATAAATATAAAAAACACAGCAAAAAACCAAAAAAAAGAAACACAGAAATAACAAAAAAACAAAAGAAAAAAATGCAAATAAAAATACCAAGTAGAAAGGAAGATAAACACCAATAATGAAAAAATATTTCAGTACTGGGTAGTGGAAGCTATGATATGTGTATGCGTGGTGAACAGTAACAGCTATAATCATACAAGAAATTATGAGATGTTCTTAAAAATGTTTATAGCCAAGATGATCAGTTAATTTGATTGAACAACACTAAACAATCAAAATAAACATTTCAGGTTGTGTTTTTTTTATTGTCAGCACTAATGCAGTGTTTGTAGTGGTAGTGTGAGGAATCATGCATAATACAAAATTTTTTTAAGATGGTGATAGTGGCGTTCACAAACAAGATTGTCAGTTAAATAGTGCCGAACAAAGAACAACCACAAAAATTAATATTACATGATGGTTAATGACAGGACAATTTTGTAATAATCATAGTGATAATATAGTCGGACCCAGTAGATACACAAAAGAAGGAATAGAGTAAAGTACAAAAAATAAGCCAATGATAATAATTTTAAGCAGCTAAGTATGTTTAAGAAGGTTGTTCACTATAGAGTACAAATAAGAGAGTATAAGGGGGAAATAACAAGGGCCAAAATTATGTTATTAACAACAAAGCAAGTCATAGGTTTCACGCTTAACATTGTCTCTGTCACTTAGAACACGGGCCAAATATGGTATCGTTGAGTTCCTATACTTGGTTGTACGAGCATATATTATTTTATACTGATTTCTGGTTCTACCTGATGAGATGCAAGGAGAGAGTTGGGAATAGAGGGGATGTTGGGGGTCAGAGAGTATGGTTTTAGACCATTTCTCGCATGTATTCAGATGCTTATCCACTAATGTAGTGACGAGCTGACTGAGTTTTACACCGCTAGTCCTACTAACTACCTTCAACATCCTTCTCAGGATGGTATAGTCCTTTTTCAGTAACCCAGGAAAGACTAACGGGGAACAGTAAAGTAGAATAGGTAGGATACGAGAGTTGACAAATTGTGAAAGCAGAGGTTGAGGGACTCCAGTTAGTCTGAGTTTCTTAATGTAGTAGGTTAGACGAAACACTTTCTTGGAAATCATTTGGATATGAGATGACCAAGTAAGGTCGGAAGATATAACTAATCCGAGGTATTTTGCATTAGACTTTGTTTCAATTATAGTCCCCTCAATTCTACAGGCATCATGAGTGCTTACTAGTGTTTGTAGATCTCGTTTATGCCTAAAGGAGAAGTCGACAGTCTGGCATTTTGAGGGATTCAGCGTTAGGCCATTTAGTTTAGACCACTGACTGATGTCCGACAGGAAGCTATTTAATTTGAAGCAGTCTGACTGAGACTTAACGGGAAGCGAAACAGTCAGGTCATCTGCATATTTGACGAAGTTGATTTCGTCTGAGAGAGGTAAGTCATGTAAGAAGAAGGAAAAGAGAAACGGCGAGAGAACAGCACCCTGAGGAACACCAGCTTCAGTAAGCAAAGGAGAGGAAGCTACACCATTATATACCGTGTACTGCATCCTATTGGAGAAGTAAGAGTGCAGCCAGTTGATAGCCCAGGACTCAGTTTGTGTAAGGCTAAGCTTGTTTAACAAAAGGCCTCTAGGTACAGAGTCAAAAGCAGATGTGTAATCAAGGAAAGTACAACGGACATACTTGGCCCCTTTGTCTAAGGAGGATACAATGTTGTGATGAAACACAGCAGCAGCATCCAAAGTACTTCTACCCTGTTTGTAAGCAAACTGCTTTGGATCGTTTGAGAAGCTTAGGGAGGGAATGAGTTTTTGTAACAGTAATTTCTCCATCAGTTTCAAAAAAGGAGAGGTAATGGCAATTGGTCTAAACTTAACACTATCTCCAGAACCAGACTTGGGTACAGGGATGATTTTAATATCTTTCCACAGAGAAGGTACAACATTATTAGAAAAAGAAGTATTGAAAATGCTTGTAAGTGGGTTACTTAAAATATCAGCACATTTCTTTAAAACAATGGCAGGTATACCATCAGGGCCTAGACTCTGGGAAGGTTTAAGAGATTTCAAACATTTAAGAACATCAGAAGTATTGAAACGATGAAAGTCACTGGTCGTGTTATTAGTTAAATTGAAGGCAGAAAGGACATTTGGAGGGCGGATGAAAGATCTATTGAGAGTATTTACATCAATAGAAGAGGCAAAATTATTATGCTTACCACAACCAGTAATTTCTCTAAAAAGCTTCCATATGTTTTCTGAGGTTTTACAAGATAGTATTGTTTGATTATAAATGTTGTTTAGTCTCTTGATTTCAGATTTAATTTGGGTGTTTATCTTCTTAAGACCAGATTTATTCTTTGTCTTGTACAGCTTCTCTTTTTCTCTACGAAGTTTTTTGAGATGAGGGGAAGAAAAACGATCCATTCTTTTGAAAATTATCTGTTTTGGACAGCATATATCAAGACAGAATTTAAGATAGTCAGTCAAATTGGAAATAGTATCATCCAGTTTGTGTTCGTTGAAAAGTTCCCAGTTAGTGTCATTTAGCATACATCTTAGTTTGAGCATATTTTCTTGTGAGTAACACCTTTGCTGTGTTTTCTTGGACAGATTTGAGAAGATATTAAAGTGAGATCTGCTGTATATCTTAGGTAATATCCGAATAATACAATGATCTGAGTTCATGATAGGAGCACGTCGGCGTACTTCATATATTTCCTCATCATTAATGAACACTAGGTCAAAGTTTTATCAAGTCGAGTAGGGAATTTAACAATATTGGCATGACCTAATGATACGAGGAAAGAACAATCACAGCAGTTAAAATCTCCTGTGACAACTGATAAAGAGTTTTCAAGATGTGTAACGGCGAATTCAGTGAATTCATCAGCAAAATCAGATAGATCAGATGCAGAACAGCCAGGAGTAACATAAATGTTAGAGATGAAGACGTATTTAAACTTGGATAAGTGTTTCGGGCGGCATTTGACCGTTATACAATCAATAAAGTCATTAGAGTAAGAAAAACATACATTATTTGAAGTTGACCATTGAGAATGAATGAAAGTTGCAACACCTCCACCTCTTTTCTTTCTGGAGCATAGTCGATCTTGTCTAAACAATGTAAACCCATTTAGGGAAACCAGATTGTCATCATAGAGTTCATGGAGCCATGTTTCTTGTAATGCAACAATCGCCGTATTGTGATAAGTATCAGATGATAAGAGAGACTGGAGATGCATAATTTTGTTGGGAAGTGAACGGCAGTTTGAAGTGACAATAACAGGAATAGTTGTACGATATAAAGGTGTCTGTTTAAGTGCACGCTGCCAGCCAGCGTGATGTTTTCTCTTAGATTTATTAGATGCATGAAAGTCATACGGTTTGAAACGTTTAATGAATGAATTACTGTATTTTATGCGATTTGTGATCATATTTTATTAAAATTAGGAATGAAAACATGACTATTAGATGCAATATGTAGATGTAAGAAAAGGTAGCCCAGATGTCAAACAAGCCGCCAAATTTGATCTATAATCATGATGTATCTATGAATCGCTCTTTCGTCTGAGTACTAAGCTTCAATTGAATTTCCAGGGTTTTATTGTTTCTTTTGTCTAAAATTTCTACGTTTTCCCAGTAGTACTGTAACGGTAGAAGACGAGACACTAGCAATTTAGTACATCTATATAGCCAAATTATGTGCACCTTATCTTCAGCGCACCATTTTCAGAGATCTTCCGTGTTGTGCTATTTCTGACCTTCATATTGTGTTTCTTTATGTTCCTTTCATATCTCTCCCATGTGTCTACGCAATGCTGTATTATTTGCTTTCTCTAACATCTCCCTGCTACTTGATATTTTTATGCCGATGGACATTTCTTTATATACGATTGATACATCTTATCAGCAGCACACACCACTGTGGTATCCATAATTCTCACACGCATCGTTATGAAACATTAGATGTGTGTCTTTGACAGTTGGTTTAAAGGACGCATATTTGATCAATGTATTGCAGTTTACTTTCTATATGGTATTGATCTCCCCTCTTACTGTTTGGTCTGTATAGTATTGATAGAAGTGATTGTGTTGGCTTGTGTGCCATATATCTGTTCCACGTGTTTTTAGTATTCCAGCTGGGTTTTTTTTTCAGAAACATTGTCTATACATGTTAGAATGAATTTTATTGTGATTGTTTTAGGAGTCTTTCTTGATTGTAGTTTGTTTCGAGTGTAATCATTTCTTTGGGGAATTGTGATGAAAGTGTCAGTTCTCCTTCCTCCCTTCCTTCAGGACAGGAATACAACAGTCTGATTTAACTTGACTTTTGTATAATGTTTGTTACTCAGTGTATTTTTCTGTGCCATTTTATTGATTATTGCTGAATGTCCTCCCTATTTTTTTTCCTTTTCAGTTCCCTTCCACCATTACTAGAAGATGATAGTAATAATATAAAGCATAGATCACTTGATACAAACGTCAGAAAAGTTGAATTCTCAGATCGTTTATTATTTCTTAAAGGATCATGGTTATCAAGGAATCTGGCAGGTTCATTTAATTCTAACAATGACATAACTATATCGTATACAATTTGTCCACTTGCTTTTAGAACAGTTTTTTATTTTATTTGTTTCATAGTTTGTTTATATGCATTACTACGCTTTTGTGTATTTCGTCGACGAGTATTCAATATGTTTAAATTTACCATTAAAACATAAATTGTTGTACTCACGCACATACGTCAGCACGCACACTCACACACACACACGCACATCAACAATCACTGTTTTCTTCTTCTTCTTCAAGTTGATAGTATGTTTATTTGTTAATACTTCTTTTTTCTTTCTTTTTGTTTTTTTTTCTCATCTTCTCAAATGTTGATTTTGTAATATAAGTAAAGACATGCAATATGTGATATTAAGGAAGAAGTTTTACAGTTTTATTTACAAAATGATAAACATTTTCAATAATAAGATTTCTATTTTGATTACACGTGAGTTATGCAATCGATTGGACATAGATAGAAAACTGGTCACAGGCTGTTTGTAATGCGATGGCGATTTGGACAGGAAATTACTATTATTACATGTTATATTTTATTATTCACATATTATTATACCCGTAGATTCCGACGGGAAGGCAGAAGTTCAACAGCACATTTCTTTTTCATTCTTTTCTGTGACTGGGTCTACGTCTGCCTGTAAACTCTTATCTTCTTCCCACCAGATCTCCTTCATATCCCCTCAGACACTCAACTCTTCGTTTCCCATTCGGGTTCCACTCGAGAGCCCAGCTCACGATGTCATTCAACAGGAGAAAATATGTTCAGTATATTGACGAAGGTTTTTGGTAGCCTAATTTTTAAGCAGTACATCGTACAATGGAAATTTTTATTCCATCTGAAACTAGACTTGTTCCCCTACAACATTTCTCTTCCGTTTTCATCTTGAAGGGAATAGCATTAGGTTGGAAGCCAGTTTAAAAATTTTGTATGGGTTTATATTGCTATCGAAAGGCACAATTGGAAGATTAAAACAATTATAAACTGAGAAAGTAGGTATATTGAATTATTTTTGGATGGAAATTTAGGTGTAGCAGAATAGTTTAACCATAATGGTAGTTTTCAACCGAATATTTGTGTCATGATACAGTATATTCTTCTTCGCATAATTACTATAGATCAGTATATAAAAATGTAAAGATATTCTCACATCTTGATCGCATTTAATCTGGAAGTAGAAGATTCCTGATGATCAGGCAACTTAATCTTATTTTAGTCCATCTAAAACGGTTGTGTTATCATATTTGAGGTTACTTTTACAGCGTATTATTAACACCTGTGTCGTCTAAAAAGATGCAAATATTCCTTTTGAGAAAGAGAGATGACTTTTACCCTTTAGCAATTTGTTTGTTGGGTATACTACCTACGTAAAAACTTGCATAGAAATAATGCGTCATTGTAAATTATCTGATTTTGATACAATACACAAAGAGGTGAAGAGAATCTATATGATAACACTGTAGAGGATGAAATAAGTTCGTCAACTCAAGTGAACCTCAACTGTTTCATTCTCAATGATCACTTTGTTTATCCGTGTGGATTCAAAGGCGTGATGGTCAATATAATTTTCACAGGACAAGAGATCGGCAGCTTCAAGTGTGGTTTGATTATGTGGTTGTAGACTCTCTCCAAATCATCGTAAACAAATACATCTTTCCACAACTGTAAGTGTTATATTCTCTCTTCGCTAGTTAGGGCGGTGTTAACAGAAGCCCAGCTCGGCTAATCTGATGGCTATATAGTGTAACTAAAGCTCAAGTTCGGCAGGATTGATAACCACACAACAATCTTGAGCATTATTTCTACTGGAAGCGATCTCAAATCTTTGCATGCAGCCTAATCAACTGACTTCCATGGACTACAATTGAAAAACCTGATGAGTGATCACAGACAACAATTTGCATGTGTTAATACAGTAAGGAGAGTAAGTGTTTGCAAACAAACGAGCAAAACTTTATCTCAAGTTAAAAGAGTGATAAGTTTTTAATATTTGCTTACTAATTCAGATCTAGAAATATTTATCTCCTGATACGGATTTAAACCAAGCAACAAATGTGATCAAGGCGAGCTCATAGACCATTGAGCCACTGGGACGCGGTCCAATGGTTCTTGAATTCTAACTTCTGCTGGTTGACGACTTATCGTGATCATTTCGTCTTCGATGAGTTACTGCCTCATCTTCGACCTGCTGTACCCTACTGGTCGCGGCTTTCCACTAGAACCCCAGGTTAACTGTCTGAATAGGGCCAGTCACTAGTGAGCATCGGATTAATTTCAAGTATTGGTTTTGTAGGGATTTTGTTTGGTTACATGGAGGATTTATTTCATCACGAGCTGACATTAGTTAGAGAAACACTGGAAACTCTGGGAGTAGTAGACAGCTGTTTTGTCCTATTTTGGGACTCTTCATCAGTAGACACCCACGGGGTTCGAACCCAGGGCCTTCTGGTTAAAAAGTGATCCTATAACCATTGGGCCACTGGGACCCAATCCAATGATTCTTGAATTCTAAATCCTGTCAGTTCATGACAGGGAAGCCGTGACCAGTAGGGTACAGCAGGTCTAAGATGAGGCAGTAACTTATCGAAGACGACATTGCTAAATGACCGAAGGTCCTGGGCTCGAACCTCGGTGGGTGCGTACCGATGAAGAGTCCTAAACTAGGACGTAACAGCTATCGAGTACACCCAGGTTTTCCAATGGTTCTCTAACTAATGTCAGCTCGTGATGAAATCCTACATGGAATCAAACAAAATCCCTACAAAACCAATACTTGAAAATGTGATCAAAGCAGCATTGAATGAATCCATCAAATTTCCCTCGGAATTTCTTCAGCTGAACACTTTACATACAGTTATATATATATATATATATATATATATATATATATATATATATATATAAACATATATTAGAGTCGGTGGCACAATGGTTAGGACTCTCGACGACCATGCACATGGTCCGGGGTTCGAGCCCACACCGGCGCACACCAGATATCTACGGTCGGCCAGCGAAATTTGGGCTACCGATATCCACGCTGAAAATTCCATACTTGTACCAAAAATACAGTGTGGAATCAAGCTGTTACCAAAAATAAAAAATAAATAAAAAAATTACCTACTTTGAATCAATCATGTGAAACGATAGGTGTGAATATTACATAGGTCTAGGTCAGTTGGATAATAGGCGAAGGGTGTGAGGGATAAAATTTAAGATAATAAAAATGCATTAGAGTTCAGTTACATCGCTTAAATATAAACAACTGTCTGTCTGGATTCGACATAGAACTTGGCACTGAAGTGCAGCAGTTCGAGTTGCCACCTTCCAAATAGCACACAGAGGTAGACAAGAAGATGAGTGAAGAAAATTAATAGAGTTTGACAAGTATAAGAGTGAAACAGAATGGGTAATGGTAGAAAGGAATATGAAAGATTACAGAGATTGAGTACATCTGCGCTGGCCATTGACAACGATTTTGAGCCATGTCACCTATTGTCTCCAGCCATTGATTCCTAGAGTCCCGAGGGCCCCAACCCGGGAGTCTGCATCTCCCTACCCACTTGACTCAGTTTAACTGTCAAGGATTTCATGGATTGATGAGGCCATGTTTTTGTTTGGCCACCACTGGCTCTTTTCCAACTTGAACCTATATCAGCTAGCAAGGCCCGTCGGGGGAGGCGGTGGTTAGGCATGCGCACCACGTGACCTAGCCATCTTAGTCTATGTAACTTCATAGCCTAGTTAACAGAGAAAGAACTTGAAAATGTCAGAAAATGCAAATTGAATAATAATAATAATAAAATGAATCAAGAATAGTAAGAAGAGATGGAATAAAATATTAGTGGTAATAACGATTGATAAGTAAAAGGCACTGCCATGGCAGATTTGAAGGTGAAGTTCAACAACAGCGTCCCAGGGGTACGAACGACCCAATGACTTTCAACGCATGATAGTCGTTGACTGACGGCACCTGTCATTATCCTAGGCGAACATGAACAAATGTTGGGTTCAGGATTAAGTTTAGGGTTACGACTGGGGATAGATTTAGAGTTGATGTGATTTATTTTCGAATTTTTTTTATTATCCATATTTTCCTGGTGAGTAGTCGTCGACCCGTTTACTAGAAACCATAGTAATTCAACTGAGGGCTTTGGGGAGGACTTCACAACAGGATAAGAGTGATAAAGGATTCACAAAAACAGCTCATCTCCAGTCACCTCGGTGAATACATGTACAGAAACTAGTCTTACTTAGCAATTGATATTCCTCAATATAACGTGTATTCATTTTTAAGTCATTTCAGAGAAAGATAACCTGTTTAATGTGTTTTCATGCATTTTCTTGTAAATGTGCGTAATTTTTTTGTGCAAAAGTCACTTATTTTTATGATTGGTCGGTTGAAGGTCACTCGCGTGTTCGCATCCCTTGTGACGCTATTGTTGAACTTTGCCGATTCAGAGTTATCACTATTTCCTTCTGTATGCAGGGATCGAGTTCATAAACTCTAATTGCATAAGACTCTGCAATTCTCAGCATGGTTTAATTAAAACAAAACAAAACATGGAACTGAAATATTCATGCAGGTAAGAATTACTACGAATTTTTGTGAGCACTTTTTTACGAAAAGATTTTGCAGTGTTGAAATCAAATCAAATAAATCAATGAAAAAGTACTTTTCTGTGTGCATGTGCGTGTGTGTGTGTGAGTGAGTAAATGAGCGTTGAATAAATGCACATTATTTAGTCACATAGTGCAATTACGATTCCTATAGAGCAAAATTGTCAATTATGTTTAAAAATTCTTTTAACAATAAGGGTATATATAGCTGGTTTAGAGTTGTCAGAAAATAGAGTCATTGAGTAATATGGTATGAAATTTAGTACTTAAGTTTTGCAATTAATAGTGTTCTCTGAGCTGGTTGGTTTAGTTGTGGAGCTTTCTTTATCCCTCTGGGCAACATCTTCAACGCAGTTTTTAGTATCAAGTGAAATGATTTAAATTTTGCATGAGTGATAGAATTGCGTATCCCGGTAACCATCTTCACATATGTATTGATCATTTTTTGTTGACTTGGATTTTAAACTTTCTGGTCACATGTGATTTACTTTTTATTAGTTGGTATATTTGGTCTATATTAACGTGTTTGTAAATTGCATATTCGTTTGAGTACCGGGCTTCTAGGAATTCCCTGACTGCACTTTTGGTGTTTCCTCAGTCCAAGATTTCGACATTATCCCAATCAAACTTATGTCCATAATTATCCACTTACATTGATATGAAATAATATATATCATGTCTTTTCACGGCTGATTTGTGTTCCTGGATTCTGATTCGAAGGGGATGCCCACTTTGGTTGATGTAATGCCTGTTACAGTTCATACATTCAATTTATTTTGTAAATTGTGTTAATTT